CTTCCCTCCTCCCTCCCTCTCTCTCTCTCTCTCTCACTCTCTATCTATCTACGTACATCTCTCTTTCTTTCTCTCTCTGTCTCACCATGTTGGATTTTTCCTCCAGGTCTTTCCACAGCACAATCTTCTGTCCGTCGTCGTAGTCGAAGTCCTTGAAGGGGTACAGCACGTTTCCCAGCGTCCTGTGCTTCTTGTGACGGTCCACGTCATACACGGTGAGTCGGAGCGTGCGTGTCTGTAGAGCTTTGTACGACACCTGGCGGTAGAGGAGGGAAGTACATCAATACAAGTTCATTGCAGATTTTTGTCCGGCGACTAGCTGCAAATAACGACGGATGCAATAAATGAAAATAGCGGCAATGCCGGAAAAAATATCTATTTTCAGGCTGGGATTGACTTGATATTCTTCAGTTTAGCACAAAAACTGTTGTAGGCTGAATCGAAGTACCTGAAAGACGAAGCTCTCGTCGAACTTCGGGTTTGTGGTCTTCCTCTTGAACTTGGACTGCACGAATCTCCTCTCGTCTGGCAACAGGAAGATCTTGACGAAGGGATCGCAGGCGTTGGAGCTTCCTGCCGTGCGGCTGGGGTGGGGGAAAACAAAGGCGAGATTCAGTATGCTGTGCGTATGATACATACATGGAGTTCGGTATGTTTCCGATAGAGCGCGCAACAGCAACAGTGTACTCGCGCAGACCAAATGCCATTACATTTGAATTTTATACCCGTCTTGGTTATTTTTTGCCTTCTCGCATGAAATTTGGAGTCTGTTCACGATGCCATTCATAAGATTTACTTACTGATGTCTAACATAGCCACAGTAATGTTGACCGTACCTGGGGAGATTCTTGATCTTGATGAGGCTGACCAATAAGCGCTCAGCCTCCCGCTGGTACTCCAGGGCGAACCACACCCTCCCGAGGTGGTCTTCGGGAAAGTTCGTCTCCGAGTCGTCCTGAGTCGCCTTGTAGAGATCGGGATCTATCGTGCCCAACGAGAACATACCTGGAGAAAACAACAAGTCGGAAATTTCAGACTTCTGGGATCCTTGGATTCCTGAATTTCCCTATGTGTACTTGTAATTCCTGATACCTTCACGTTAACCCCGTTTTCTGTGCCTGACCTTTTGACCCTTTGCCATTCTGCCTGTCAATCTTCTCCCCATCCACATGCTGTCAACCTACACTATGCAAAATCACAAACACACAAACCTTCAGTTCGTATCTGCATACCACACTATCATTATCGATGACAATGACAATGAATTTTATTGCATATTCACTCCCTACGTGGGCCAAATGCACTAGGTTAGAAAACTAAAACAAAATATGTTGACATAAGGGCAGGAGAAAGAAGTACTACATATGGCACACATATATAGAATAATAAGTAATTGAAGTCCATACTGTTTTGAGGACCTTCCGTGGAGGACCTTCTCGACGGAGGTGACGACGAGTCCGAGCCGCTGTCGGGATAGATCGGGACCCCGAGCGCGCCCGAAGTCTCCAGTCGGGGCGACACGACGGGCCGGTCGAACTGTCGGGTTTTCTTCGGCGGCGTGCTCGGCAGCACGAAAGCTTGCACATTTCTCGAGTTGACCCTGGGAGACAGAAAATACGCAAATATAATAAGGACACAAAAATATGAAAAAATTGAGAGAACAGAGTGTAACAACCAACAAGTCTTTTATTCGTCATGAAAACAGCAATAAATCAGTGGAGCAGCAGTTGTCCTGTTTCTTTCCTTTCATGACATTTTCCCTTATCCCACTGTCGTGACTCTTTGGTCATAGTTACAGCAGAATTTCTTGGTTTGTTTTTTCTGGGGACAGGCCAAAATCAATCCGCACGTGGACTTAAGAGTCTTGGTTAAGCTTCCATGCCCAGCGTTGCTGACAGAGGGACTTAATGACGGACTTGCTCCACAAATTCAAACACAGATCACTCTCTTCTGACCTAACCTTGGGATGGTGAACCTACCATTAGACTACACTTCCGCCAGCCTACATAGCTAAATTGATCCCAACGGTGACCTTCCTACTAAGCCAGGGCGTCTTTTGAGGTAAATGACCGTCCCAAGCCGACCTTCAGTGCGAACCGTAGGGCCCTTTCCCCTTTTCTTACGTATTCTGTTTTAAAACCATGTCGCTACAGGTTTTTGTGACGATTCTGTGGGGACCATCAAAATATGTTATTACCGAGTACTGAGTGCATAGGTTATGAATTCCATGACCCGTTACGTTCTATTTTGTTGTGATCATAGTATTCATACATCGTATAGAGTAGACTATGGGACATTGAATTTGATGACGCGTATCTTTTATGTCGTTCGTGAAATAGCTGAGTCCTTAGGTAACCATAAATACGTCTTAGAATATGCACATGTAAGTCTAAAGAGGAAGGGGGCACGCATCAGAATTGTGTTGCAACTTTGGCGACGACTGTTCAAAATTCATGTCGAAAACAGCATGAAAAAAAGAGACGAAAAACTAGCAGCCGAAATCAGAGATGAAAGAAATATGAGACAAAAAACAGCATGGGCCACCGTACAAAGCGGTACGCTATGTGTGGCTATAAATTCTTACCAACAATAACTCTTGTTGTAATGATTGGATTCCATTGACTCAGTGTCCGGCGTTGGTGTTTGATTACCTTAATATAGATTATTTATGACGCTACCTGTTGACGTAAGATACGCCAGGTTGCTAGGACGCAGTAAACGTAACTTACGTGAGTTGTGGCACGTTCTTTCTGTCCATGTCCACGGTGGTGTGTTCCTTTCCGCCCGCGCCACGCCCGTAGATCTTCTCGTACGGTGCCTGGTAGGCACATCTCTTCTTGTAGACCCGGTACACCAGGTAGACTAGGATCAGCAGCAGCACCGCTCCCGTGATAGAACAGGCCACGATCGTCACTGTGGACGCTGAAATTGGTAGTAGAATAACATCTCATTATAAATCTTTTATTCAGCGTATAATCTTGTAGTGGTGGCACTATATAAAATGAAACTAGAGTTCGTGGAACACATGCTTTCTTCAGGTGTTGATATTTTGTTTTCGAGTTATGTTGCACACATACAATCGACAAATGCACAAAAACACCGCTGCAGTACGATTGGGAAAAGCCAGGTGGATCATTTTTGAACTTGAACTATGATTTTACAACAGCTACCCTCATGCCAAAAATATCCACCCGCAAATACTCGAGTTATGACGTTGACCTTATAATACGGACCCACGCTTCTGACGAAGGCAATAATTACGTTCGAGCTGAGAGCTTCAAGTTGTGACAAGCCCTAAGTGGGTATTTCCCCAGTAACTGTATGTCACTTCCTATGATGAAAACCATTTAGACTGCCTACTTGACCTTAATGTCAATCTGCGGTTGTAAAATCTAACATCTCTAAAGTGCCTCTTTATGACAATAACAGCTGTTTATAACAAAAGTTCAGTGGTACACAGCAAAACGATTAGAGCTTTTACGGTAATCTCTCTAGCTATCTTTGTTTACCGTCACCTTGGTAACCTACGCTGTGGTGATCCTCTTAATGTGTGAGTTTGCACCAAACAAGCTCTATTGACTGAAGAAAGATCGATGAAGTGTACACGTTACGGCGATTAAAGCTGGAGACGTTTTCTGTGCTAGAAGGATAGGAGTGGGGAGGGGGGCAATTACAAGGTATGCACCAGGTGGGGGAGGGGGCAAGGTCAAGGTCAAGGGGGCTTCACAGGTGTCAGACAGTTTGTCACTGGCGGAACTGACTTGTCAGTAGCTGTTTGTTTTTAGTATGTCAGGCGGAACCTACAACGGCTCGTGTTTGTCTGGTGTACACATGATACGGATAAGCCATGTGGAACTAACAACATTACCTGTGTAAGTTAACAACATTACTTCATCATATATATATTCAAGACCGGTTTAACTGAAAACATTTACGCTCCACTGAATGAAAAGTACTTCAGTTCCTACCTAGCAAAATCATTTCAACAACAAAATCCAAAATCTCATGTACCTCCGTGAAAGCTCTAAAATTTTGGGAATATCTTGTTTTCTCGTTCGTTGATTCTGTCTATGCATTTTCCCACTGGGCAGGGCAACAGACATGCACATAACAGGAATTTGTAGACAGGAAATAAGATAACCTTTTCTGGGAACTTTCTGGGATCTTCGACCTAACGTCCTGTCAGTATCCAATACGTGCTTAGCATGTGGAATTAACTACAAAAGCACAGACAAACACACACACGGACACACCGAAAACAATACACACATATACGGATGTGATGATACCTGTCATCTAATTTTAATAAGTATATATTTTTTTCATTGTGTTTTCAGACCTCTATCCTTTCGATTTCAATTGGTTTCACCACATACTTTTACTCAACCCCATGGATGTAGTGGAATGGCCCTAATTACGCACAAGAAGATACAACCAGCCTTTTGGTTGTCATGACAACCAGCCCTAGACACCCACTGATCAAATACAACATCAGTATGTCAGTACTTGACCTGTAAAAAAAACTTAACCCTCAGGAAGAAGCCGAGGTCGAAAGTTCAACAGTGCTGTTCCCAATTGTTTCTCCTACTAAAGAATGTAACTTTTTTAAACTTACCCACTCACAGTCAATTTGATCAGCTGTAAGCCTGTTTGCCTAGTGTATAAAAAATGGCACTATGTATTGACGTTTTGCAGACATTGGGACCGTAGATAAATGTAGACCTGACGGTCTGACATAAAGGTAAACTAGATAAACCACCCGACCAAAATATCCGACAAACCATATGTACATGACAGGCACTTTTCCATGACATGAAATATAGCCGTTAAGAACCCACGCCCTCTCATTATGAAACGTGTGCATATCGCCACATGTCGCGCGTTTTGGAGCGAAATGGATACTTAGACATCAATGAGATTGCCCTCTTCAAGCCAGGAGAATGAACTTTTATGTTTGTTGCACCCACGTACAGGTGCAGCACTTGAAAGTCGCTCTCAGGAGAGCTTGCTATAACTCAATACTCAAACTTAAAGCACAATATCTAGCGCTGAATATCTTTTGTGTGTCAGTTTGGGCGTCATGACATTTTTATGCGCTTAGCTGTAATTCTAATTTTAGGAAACGTTACATAACCACACTTTACTAAGAAACCATTTCCTCCAACAAACAGTACCGTATCGTATTTAAGTACATGTACGTCTTAGGCCACACCAATTTAATTTGTTGGTTGACGGATTTTTTCAGAAAGAATATGAAGCGACAGGGCGAAAAAAAATAAAATAAAAACAGGTCTAGGCACCCTATCATAGCCCCAAAAGCTCAACACAAAAGGCTGTGTTAATATTTAAGCAATGAATTTTTAACTTTAAATCAAACCACTGTATTGATAGATGGAAAACTGTAACAACTAGAAAAGAACTCTCAACTGTTGGGAGGAAATATGAGAATATTTGAGTTGATTCAGAATGTGATTGCAAATCCGAAAAAAAATTAAGACGCAACTCCGCGGCCGAGAACCAACGAATTAAATTGGTGTGGCCTTAGTGCCTAACGACGTTATCCAAAGACATAGTATTAGCCCCTAATTAAAGTACAGTCAAAAGATCTTCACCAAGCTTTATCAGTGATGTCTTTATCTTAATAATTTATCGCATTTCCTAAGTAAAACACTTTATCCTGAGAACAGTTGCAAATGTTCTCACAATCAGACAACAATCGTCTGTTTTTGTGGTGACATTCCTGCATGAACTGCTTTCAGATCGTATCGTTTATTTAAAAAGAGTGATGCTTTAATAAAAACCTTCCATTGTAGACCTTTCAGTCTAGTATGTGCGTATCTTATGAACTTATAGGAAATGATCAATTCAATTGCAATGTTTAAGGCTTGTAGGCCTCTAAAGTAAAGAAATTAACTTTTCTAAAACTAATACATAACGCCGATGTCTACATTCTTTTTCAATACATGAAAAATGAATGGTTATAAATGATAACACTACTGGGGGTATACATGTGACCTTTATGGGAATTTGGCAGATAAACTTCAAGAAATGTGAAATGATGAGACTGACAGATAAAGCTAAGGTAATGTGAAAGGTTGGATTTGGGGAAATTTTGAATCTTGAAATGGGCGGTTATACTAAACAGACACCCTGGACGATAAGCACTATGTGCCATTGCCCGCAGGCCAAGTCGCTCACTGTCCCCATAATTAAACCTGTCCCCGTCTACGTCTGAGAAACCGAAGCCTTATTATTTGGAAATCAAAAATCATTCCGTGTTTCAGTGCAGCTTTCCATCAAATTCACATAAAGGTCACATTTGTACACCTGGTAGCGTCAGTGGTTTAGAAACGGGTATTGTCAAAGGCCAGATTTTGTCACTGATATCAGTAATTTGTCATTTTAGAAGCTTATCATTTTGTGCCAGTAAAATATCGTGATATCATATTTTGACCTATAAGCACATCAACCTCAGTGCATTCAAGACGACCGTGAATGGCCTGAAAAATTGAGAGGCTTAGGTTTACAATTTGCCGGCATGGGGTATTGTATGACGTATAGTAGAATCTCTTCAATTTTACATTAGAGGATTTATGCCTTAACAATATCCACGCATACTATCTGTGTAAATAGATCTGGGGACTCATCCGTAGTGTGCCCTCTTAAATACCTCATGCATGCTTTTAAAACCGTCCAGAAAGGTTGACCCTTGACGTGACAACCAATGTATTGACAGGATTAACTATGTTAAGAAAGCTCAAAGAATATAATCTCAACATTTCGGGGAAGTAGACCTTACTGTAGTTGACTGTGTCGTGGGTTCTTCCTGTTGTTTGAACGTCTTCTTTACATGATTATAATCAGTGGGGGGTTTTGTGTAAGACTTAGAACCGACGGAGTATGGCATCCTCCCTTTGTCGTCTGTTTCCTTATAAGATATTTGAAATAGCTTCGAATGTTTCGTAAACATGATGGCGTGAACTTGGTTGATGTTTTCTGTGCTTTTACATGTCACCTGCGAGCATCCTGTATTCTAAACTGTTCAAGCGTATAAGCCATGCCTTGCAATGTCTTTGGAAACAGGTGTACATGGCCGCTGATACGTGTTAACACGTTTACATGCTTAAACCGAGAAGAACAGTG